TTCATGTGTGATTGTCCTTGTTTATTTTCATTTATCAGTTTCACGCATATATTGTGATTACTTATTTCCACACTATAACTAGACACATGGATTACAAAGGGTTACGGTAACCACAACTCCCCCTGCTGGCTGGTTTCAGTACATGGTTTAGACCCCACCCCTTCCATCTTAGCCAATGGGATGTTTTCCTGACTAAAATAAAAGTATGTGGTTTACCACTGGGTGGATTTTAATGAAAGTCCTGCAAAGTTTTCATTTCACGTATCTGATACCTACAGCTAAACAGCATTAGGACAAACACAGTCCCTACAGCTTCGTCGCCCTGACATAAATGTAGATGTGTTAGTGGCTGGGAGTCATTTGCTTTACAGATTACACAACTTAATGCACTAGACTGTGCATTAGTCATTATTGAGGTTTAACAAAAATGTCTTTAGTGACGGCTGGACATCGTTTCCTGAAGTGAAGCTGTGACCTCTCCAGCTGTTGAACTGAATCAGACACTAGGTGGCAGTAGAAGCAGCTGCATCTGCTAACAAGACAGTGTGAGCTGTCAGAGATCAACAACACCTCAGATTATTTTATAATAAAGGACGAAAATGTTTTTATTTGATCACAGAGACAGCTGAACCAGCACACTCTGATCAGTCTCTGGGTGGTTTGGGTTCTCAGGCTTTCCTGCCTTTTTGTCTGACTTTACAGACACCTGGCAGTTAGCAATATGCATGCCACAATACTAATAATCATGGGCTTGCATCGTTTACCAGACAGAAGTAAAAAAGCAACAACATACCCTGTCTGACATGAATAAGGATTTCTAGTGGGTGAAATGAAATACTGTAGGAATGATGTGGGCTCCAAGCCTCCAGATCCTCCATGATTCTTCAGTTTGATCATTTTACAAAAACTCATCACCTGATCTTCCCGGGTGTTGGTGTTTGGAATCACCGCCCGATGAACGAGAGGTGACTGATGGAGCGCGGGTTAAGGAATATGTTAAAACTAACAGGTTTTGTGACAACCTGGAGTGTGATGCAACACCAAGGTCCTTTAGGGAATTGTTCAAAATGATGTTTAGAATATATAATTAGAATCTAGACCAAATCTATAAAGTTGCATCTAAATGTTTAAAAAAAGTGTGACAATTTCAAACTAAACATTTAACGAGCACGCTTCGACTTCCACAGACCAGTAGTAGACCCCTCGTCTCGATCAGGATTCCAACGAGACACGGGTCATTCGCCAGTCCTCCTGTCTGATAGAATGCGTTTCTAGTTTCTTCCACCATTTCCTGTATTGGCCACCGATGGATCTGAAAAGCCTGACAGATCCATGTGGCAGGGGTGAGGTGGTGCTCACTCCTCACCTCTGCCACATGGACCCAAGGGATAAACCATCAATCCTGCTCAACGGTAAACTTTCCTGGCAGGGTCACACCCATTAGGACAGTGGGAGGGCTGGAGGACTGCCCACCAGTGCATTGAGACATGATGATTAATTTAATTTAATGTATGTAGAATAAAAATGATTAGTACTTAGTTCAAACGGATATAATTGTATCTAGAAAAACCTAGCTCTAAATGAATATTTAAATGTGTAGATTCACATTTTAATATATTTTTATTTTAATGTAAATATTTAAATTGAACCCTATATATAGATTTAATTAATAAACATTTATTCTAACACTATCACTTTGGGATAAATCACAGCTCGTATTAATTTTTGATTTTATTAATTTTCACACAAAAACCCGCCTGCCTGAGAGGATCTTCTGGTGATTTTTACAGGATATTCTACAGAGAGTCACATAATTAAGCTGCGACTTTCATAACTTGATTATCACTTATGTCATTATTAATGATCATTGGAGTGAATCCTGTTAGCTTCCCGGGAAGAGGAATGTCTGCATCTATCTGCTGGATCTGTTACCTCCACGACCTGATCTCGGGGGAAGAGGGATGAAGCTTAAATGGACATTTACATTTAAATATGTTGCACTCAGATAAATCTCTGGTCGACATCTTGCACCAACTGGGTACAAAAGGGAAACTGTTTCTCACCATGCACCCAACACTTGCATGCTGGAGAACCTGTCCTAGGATCATTGAGATGCTCAAACTCCACCAAGAACATCTCAGGTTAGGATGTACCAAAGGTGGGGTGGCCTCTTTTTCCCTTTTTTGATTCTAGAGCTTTGTGACTTACTGCAGTAGTAATAAATTCACAAGTGGCCCTGCGATGGACTGGCAACCTGTCCAGGGTGGAGCCCGCCTGTTTGCTCAGAGACTGCTGGAGATGGGCACCAGCCCCGTTTGGATAAGTGGGTGTAGTAAATGGTTGGGTGGATGGAAGTTCATTAAAGCCATATAAAATATCCAGTGGTCAGGTTTATCAAACAAGTGAACTCCCCACTATTAACTGATAAAATAAAATGCATTTTTTGTGAAAGATGGGGATGTCTGACCATGCCTTGAACTTGGGCTAATTTTGCACAATGGAGACACAGATGTAAGCTCTTTTGTTTATCAGAATCGTGTAAAATCCAAACATGTAAAGTCATCTTGAACACGCCCCTGGGTGGGCTTATTAAGACACTCAAACTCCGCCAAGAACATCTCAGGTTAGGATGCCTCCTGCGGTTGTGTTCTTCTTGGGAGTGACCCCGGGACGGACCAGGACACCGAAGGGATTATATCTCTAGGCTGGCCTGTATGGCGTCAGAGGTGTGCCACAACCCGTGCACGCGGATTGGGTCCACAGCGCGCGTGTGAACGGGACTCGCGAGCGAAAATATACATGGCGAGAGGTCATTTGTGCACTGAGAGGGAGCAAACTGTGTCTGTGAACACGCAAGGATGTGCACAAGTGACAAACCTGTGTGTGCGCGTTGTCAACGAGCACACGGCAGAGGAAAACGTGCGCGCGCAGCAGCCTCTCTGCGCGCTCGGCAGCCTCTGTGCGTGCTCGGCAGCCTCTATGCGCGCTCGATTTCTGACTCCTGCTCGCTCGGCTGTGAAGGGGTTTTGGCACTCTGGAGGCGTGGCCTGTGGCAGATCTTCTCTGTCCTCTGATTGGTTAGTTTACCCCACTCTTTACCCTCTACCTCATTGGCCCACTGGCTTCCTGTCGGACCAAAATGATGGAAACTATATCTATAAAAAAAAATCTGATGTTCAGTAGTTGTTGTCATAGCTCAGCTGGGAGAGCGGGTGACTCTCACCCCGGAGGATCCAGGTTCCAGTACGGGCAAGGACAATAGAGTAGATGTCAAGTTAATTTTTTCTAATTCCTGTGATATTATTTTATAGTTGTGACCGTTCAACTGTCATTAAACGTCCGAATGTTTGCTGGGCAGTGTTTTAAAAAGTGCACATAAGCTAGATGGTTTTAACCATATAAAATTACATTTTTTGTGATACTGGAAAAATACATACTGAAATAAAACTACTGATTGAAAACTTTATGACTGTGGTTGTACAATATATGAGTCACTATTACACTGCAAAGGCCCTTAGAGTGGGGCTTCCAGAGAGAGAGAGAGAGAGAAAGAGAATTTGTATTCTGTCAAAGTTGTAATATTACTTCAGCCACTCTTGAGAGGAGACTCCAGGTAAATATAGACTTGTGGGTGTAGGTATGTTCAAGTTTAAAAAGTTCTTGCCTCATTAATGTATTGTTTATTTTTTTCAGCATTTAATTGACAAATTATCCTTTCAAATAATTAATTGATGAGTTACATAATTGTCCATTTAGAATTGTTGAATGGACTGAGTCAAGTTTGGTGCACTTTATATATTTCAAAACATGTTTTTTTTTATTTTAATGATGCATATAAATAATTTAAATGTTAATTTAATGAAATATTTCTATTTTTTCATTACCTCACCCTTGTTTTGACAAAAACGGGACCTTGCTGGATAATATCACGGAGAAACTATTTGTTCACAGTACTTGGCTCAGTGAGGATCTGTATACCAAAGGAGGAGATACTCAGAAATCTGTCTGCAGATTGTTACAACCCAGACTGGAAGTGATGGGCTGTGTAAGGTTATGAAGTTCGGAATTTTCAGCTCCACACAGCTGCCCCTGTACACTGTAACACCAGTGTATAAAAGCCAAGGTCGGGTGTTCCTCAGACTGTTTACATTCCAGGAGAAGAGTCCGAAGGAGAAGAAGAACGCTTTTACTTAAAGTACTTTATTTGTGATTAAAAAAATTTAAGCAAAACATATGTTGATCAATAATAATCAAGTGAATGATCTGTGGAATAAAGATGTCATGATTTATGTGTTTAATGAAAACAGGACTATTGCACAGACAGACTGACCCTCATCTCCATAGAAACGCATGACACATTGTTCCAACCAATCAGAGCTTTCGGCTGCCGCAGGAGAATCTGGCTTGTTGACTTAAAGTGTCCAATCCGCTTTACTAAAACGTATCAACAATTCAGAGATATAAAACAAGGCAACGCCATTTTAAGCTCAGTTCCATTTTGACTTCAGTTCTATTCACCATCATCCCAAAGAAAAGCACAGCCTGGCCAGATGTGTTTTCTTCTTTAAACTAAGAACTGTGAAGTTGGAGATTTTCGTCGTTTAACAACCAGACGACATCCTTTCAAAATAAGAGCACCTGCTGACGTTGCCGATTGGTACCGGGGTCGACCCTTCAGACGGGCTTTTGACGTGCTGCGACCGCTGCTCCGAACAGCTCCAGTACACATCCGAGGTTCTTGGACCTGGCATTTCCTGATCTACCTGGGAGGCCCCCCACTGGGTACGTACACGGCAAAATAGCAGCTCATGTCATCACTTTATAAGCCTCATGATATCTAGTCATAACAAAGACTACCAGATTCAATGACGTCAGCCTAAGGAGTCTGAACCAACCACACACACACACACACACGCACCAACACAACATCCAAATCCATTTTCATCCATCACAGAGTTAGTCCTGGTAGATTGTTAAGAATTTATAATTAAGAAATTAAA